TAACAAAATCTTTCAGGCATAATTGAAGAGCAGCCAATTGAAGCACGACGATCAAGCTGAAATAGGTCGAGAGTGGTAAGCAAGCTGCGCCGCTCTCGATCGATGGTCCTTTTGTTTGCTGATTGGACCAGAGATAAGCGACCAATTAAGTTCTTCCATGACTCAAGTTGGTAAATCATTAGTGCGTTCTTTTCTTTGCTGTTTTTTTTTTTTTCTTTAATGAACTTCAGCAACTGAAACTGTGATTTAGCCAATATAATTATATATATATATATATATATGAATATAAAAGAAATTGGAATTACACTGTCGGCACTATTCTTTATAGGTATTAAAATAAATAATACGGTTACAGTGGTATGCATATATAGCTGCGTAGGTTGCTATTAAGCAATGGCTCAGTTGTTTTGGCTGGACGTAGTGAGTGAAACAAAAAATCGGATAGTTCAGCAGGAAAATGACAGGTTAATACTGGCCTCTACGCAAGTTAATGATCCAGGGATTTGATTGTATTGTTGAAATCAAAGCGTTGTAACGCAGTTGCAAGAACGTGAGCAAGAACGTGAACAGAAACAGAAACAGAGAAATGAGTAGAACTAATTATCTTATTATCTTCCTTGTTTATTACATGCTGTGTATATATATAGACTTTTAATAAGGCCGAAACATATATGGCAATATATAAGGCTATACAGTAATATGAGCACAAGTATGGCTTTAGTTCTCTAATATTCCCCCGCAAGTTGAAGGTGCTTTCTGAACCGTCAATTTGTCTCGAAGTAGATGAAACCGTGGGGTTGAAAGAGATTTTGTTAGTATGTCTGCAATCTGATCAGTTGTGCTAATTGGTAGAATTCTGATATTTTGTTGTTGAATGTGATCCCGGACAAATCTGTGATCTATCTCGATATGTTTTGTCCTGGCATGAAACACCGGATTGTTTGCCAGTGCTATAGCTGAGGTATTGTCGCAGAATAGTTCCGTTGGTTTATCCTGTGAAATGCCGAAATCTGTGAGAAGACGACGGAGCCATGCTATGTCCGCCGTTAGAGCGGCAAGTGCCCGGTACTCTGATTCGGTGGACGATCGAGCAACTGTTGTTTGCTTCTTTACTGTCCACGAGATTAGTGAGTCTCCTAGAAACGAGCAATAGCCGGTCGTAGATTTCCTTGAGATGGGATCGCTTGCCCAATCAGCATCTGAGAAAGAAGTAAGAAGTAAGTTAGATTTTGTAATTGGTATGCCATATTGGAGCGTACCTTTTATGTATCGAAGTAGACGCTTTAGGAGGTAAGTATGTTCTGGCATGGGTTGATGCATATGTTGAGAGAGAAGGTTGACACTGTAAGCAATGTCGGGTCGAGTGAGGCAAAGATACTGAAGTGCACCCGTTAACTTCCTGTACATAGTCGGATCTCCCAGAATTGGATCGGGCTGGAAATCTTTCGGTAGCTTTGTGCATGTCGGGTTTGATAGCGAGTTGCATCGGGTAAGTTGTGCCATTTGAAGAAGAGAGCGGGCGTAGGTCTCTTGAGACAGAAAGTATTTGTCAGTTTCTTTTCTAATTTGTATCCCAAGAAACGAATTGGCTCGTCCAAGTTGTTTCATTGCAAACTTTCCGTGAAGCTGATGAATAATATTGCTAATTGCATTTGCATCATTACCCGTAAAGAGAATATCATCCACGTACACAAGAAGGAATAAAGTGATATTTTGTTTTCGAAAGATAAACAGAGAAGAATCGGATTTGCTATGAGTAAAACCGATGGAAAGAAGAAACGAAGTGAAAGTGTTGTACCATTGACGCGGAGCCTGTTTGAGACCGTAAATGGCTTTGTTTAGACGGCATACGTAATCCGGATTGTTGTTATCTTCAAAGCCTTTGGGTTGAGACATGTAGACTGTTTCGTTGAGTGATCCATGAAGAAACGCGTTTGCTACGTCCATTTGATGAACAGGCCAGTCACGGTGTAGTGCTATAGCTAAGAGAATACGGATCGTAGGTAGTTTTACAACTGGACTAAATGTCTCAGTGTAGTCTAGACCATACTCTTGATGGTTGCCTTGCGCCACCAGACGGGCTTTATATTTGGCTATAGATCCGTCTGAATGCCTCTTTGTTCGGTAAGTCCATTTACATCCTAGAATAGAGGAGTTTGGTGGCCGAGGGATCAACGTCCAAGTACCTTGAGTCTGCAGTGCGAGGAATTCGGCCGCCATCGCTTGCCTCCATTCCAGGAATTTGCTGGCTTCAGCGTATGTGGAGGGATCTGTAGGACAAGCTTTAGTGTTTTGGTTATGAAATAAATTTAAACGATTTGTAGATTTAAGAGATCCTGTCTTGTATCTAGTCAGCATAGGATGTGGAGCAGTTCGGCTACTGGCATTGGTAGTGGAAATTGTCTGAGAGGACTGATTGTGAATGAGGAGTTGATCTTGACTTGATACTGGACATTGTTCTGTATGCGGGTTGTCCGTTGGTCTCGAGTTGTTAACGGTGGCAGTGTTGGTCTTTTGAACCACAGATACTGGTGTAAGAAAATATGGAGAAATGTTATCAGTTTGTTTTTGAATAACAGTAGATGATTTGTTTAGAAATGGAAAATAACTTTCATCAAAGGTAACATGACGAGAAATAGTAATTTTGTGAGTTGTGAGATCAAAGCACTTGTAGCCTTTGTACTGTTCCGCATATCCCAAAAACACACAGAGCTGGGATGTTGGTTGCAGTTTGTTGCGAAGGGATGCAGGTGTAAGAGGAAAACATGCACACCCAAATGTCCTCAGATGTTCGTAGTCGGGTACACGATGGTGAAAGAGCTCAAACGGTGATTTGCCGTTGGTGTTTGGAGATGGCATCCGGTTCACTAGGTAGGTAGCTGTTAGCACAGCATCCGGCCAATATGAGTATGGAACAGACGCCGTGTGCATAAGCGTCCTAGTGGTCTCGATGAGATGCCTATGCTTACGTTCCGATACGCCATTTTGTTCGGGTGTGTGAGGACATGAAATCTGATGAGAGATTCCATGCAGCTGAAGAAATCTAGTGAAGGCATGGTTCACATATTCACCTCCTCCATCCGTCCTGATGCTCTTTATTTTTCGCGATGTAAGTTTTTCTATATAGGATTTGAACGTAATAAAAATATTAGAGACTTCTGATTTGTGCTGCATAGGAAATAACCAGGTAAATCGTGTACAGTCGTCAATGAAAAGTACATAGTAAAGATAACCGGAGTTAGATTTTACGGGGGCGGGACCCCATACATCAGAGTGAAGCAACTCAAGAATCTTTGTAGATCTGTTTTTAGCAGGTTCAAACACTAATTTGTGATTCTTATTAGTATTACAAGAATGACAAGTATTAGAATGAGACACTATATGCAGGTGAGGTTGAGAAGAAGCAATTTTATGTAATGTCTGTCTACTAGGATGTCCCGTGCGGTTATGCCATAGGATGGAGGCTGTGCTGTTCGCATGAAGAGCCCGTTGCTGATATGCCAGTGGCGCTCGTAGCGGATACAGCCCTTCACGACATGGGCCTTGAAAAATGACTCGTTGCGTCTTCAGATCTTTAAATGTAAAACCAGACGGGTCAAAGATAATAGCAATGTTATTGTCCTTTGTTAGTTGCGAGATAGAAAGCAAGTTGTAATGAATAGATGGGGAATGAAAAATTTTAGATAGATTTAGCTTACGAGAGGGAGTCGGTAGCACGCCTTTACCAGAGTGAGCTATGCCTACCGAGCTCCCGTCGCCCAGAGTAATGCTGTCGGTTCCAGTGTAGGGATTGGATATGGCTAGATTATCCAGTGATTTAGTAAGATGGGAGGATGCCCCTGAGTCGAGATACCAATCTGCATAATCCGATGACTGATCAGCAAGTAAAGCTTTGGTCTGTGGTCTTGATTTTGGAATGAATTGAGCATTCATTCGATGCCAGCAATCCGTCGCCGTGTGACCTCTCTTTAGACAGATTTGACACGTTGGGACCTGAGTGGATTGTTCTTTGGGGACGTTAGCTGGAGCATAGGAACGGCCTCTGTTTCTTCGGCCTCTTCCTCTGTTGGATAGTAGAGCCATTGTAGATGAATCTGGCGCCATAATATTAGATGCTTCAGACGTCATATGTATTTCTTCCGTAATAAGGAAGGCATACAGCTGATCAAGATTTAGAGGTTGCGTCATTGTTCGGATCGACGTCTTGAAGGATTGATAGCTCGGGGGAAGACCACGAAGAATGTAAAGAATTATGTCTTCCTCGTCGATGCGACCGCCGGCAGCCGAAATTTGATCGACCAGTGACTTCACTTCGTTCAGATATTGAACCATAGTCAGGTTCTTGAGGGACACATTGTGCAGTGCATTCTTTAACTGAATGACTTTTGATCTGTTCGTTGATTGAAAACGAGTTTGAAGATTTGCCCAGATCGCTGACGTTGTGTCCAGATTGAGTACGTAAGGCAAAATTGAAGCAGATATTGTCGAACATAGAGCTGCCGCAAGGTTTTGATCATTTAGAACCCATTGTGCGTAAGCTGGATTTGGCGCCGATAGACCGTCGCTTCTCTGGAGAGTTTGCGAAGGTGGCTTCGATAGAGGATCAAGAAGCGATTCCAAGCCATTTGCGCGACAGATTTTGAGAATTTGCGAACTCCAGAGCGGGTAGTTGTCTGGAGAAAGGGGGTTTTGAACAGTGTTCTTGAGATTTGAAAGAACAAATTTAAGTGAAGAGGAAAGAACCGGAGTGGATGGAACGGATGATTCGGACTGTTCGCCGATCATCGATGTTGTTGTTGACGCCATGGAAGCCCAGTGATCTTCACGGACTGTCTGATACCATGTTGAAATCAAAGCGTTGTAACGCAGTTGCAAGAACGTGAGCAAGAACGAGAACAGAAACAGAAACAGAGAAATGAGTAGAACTAATTATCTTATTATCTTACTTGTTTATTACATGCTGTGTATATATATAGACTTTTAATAAGGCCGAAACATATATGGCAATATATAAGGCTATACAGTAATATGAGCACAAGTATGGCTTTAGTTCTCTAATAATGGAGTGGCTGAGGAAGCCATCAAATGAGCATCGGGGAACTGATTTGTACAGAAACATTTCTCTCTATCTATTGTGGGCCATGGTGGTATGGGGAAGACAACTCTCTTACAACATGTTTATAATGATGAAATTACGAAGGAATTTGGTCTTAAAATGTGGGTTTGTGTTTCCAACAACTTTCATGTGAAGAAAGTCATTGCCGATATGTTGGAATCTCTTCATAAGAAAGAGAGGCCTCGTTTGGAGACACTTGATGCACTTCAAGGGCGTCTCAAGGAGGAGGTGAAGTCCAAAAAGTTCTTACTTGTGCTGGATGATATTTGGGAGGAGGATGAAAGCAAATGGGGGGATGTGCTTGCCCCTCTATCTTCTGGGGGTTTTGGTAGTAAGATTCTGGTAACAACTCGAACGGACTCAGTTGCACTGATGCTTGCAAAGGTAATTAAAAAGAAGAAGGAAATAGTTAAATTAGAGGGCCTAGAGGAAGATGAGTGTTTGGAGCTCCTTTACTCTCATGCATTTGCTGGTGTAGAGAACTCCCCTGATGATCATGAAAGTTTAATAGTCATTGCTCGAGATATAGTTAAAAAGCTTTCAAGATCTCCGTTGGCAGCTAAGGTCATTGGCGGTGTTCTGAATGAGAACTTGGAAGTAAGGCATTGGAGGACAGTTCTAGAAAGCAATTTATTGGATCAGAATTCTATCCATTCTATCTTAAGACTTAGCTATACAGTTCTGCCAAATCATCTACGAAATTGCTTTGCATTTTGTTGTATATTCCCAGAAGATCATGAGTTTGATAAAGATGATTTAGTCCGAATGTGGATTGCATTGGGTTTCATTCAGTCGTCTCCAGGAATGACTATGGAGGATATCGGAGGAAAGTATTTTGATGTTTTAGTCAAAAAAGTTTTATTTAACAAGTTTGAGGTCGAACATTACGATTTGCCGGTCACATATAACTACAAGATGCATGATTTAATACATGAGTCAGCATCTAGATTTTTTTCTCAGGTATGCTGTAAACTTGTGGGTAATGAAGTGTCATCTCTCAAAATTTCTGAGACTATTCGGCACTTATCTGTTCTAAATGCAAAACCAGACATCTTAAGAAAGATTGAGAAGTTGAAACATTTGCATTCTCTTTTCTTGTTCTATGAAGATTTTAATGATCAGGATCTTCACAGTGGACTTATTGAAGTATTGAAAACATCGAGAAGCCTACGCTTATTATACATATGGGTTTCAAAAGGCTTGAAAATAATACCTGAGGGGATTGGAAATTTGATACATCTTCGATACTTAAATATTGTTAGTTCTAATTTGACTCTGATGCCAAGATCTGTAAGTAATCTCTATCACTTGCAATATATAAGCTATTGGCGAAATAGCCTAAGCGATCCTGAAGGTGATGTTTTTTTACCAAGTGACATTAATAGCCTTTCTAACTTGCGTTACATGAAATTGCCCAAGATTTGTATTTCATCGATTTGTGAAATTGGGAAGTTAAAGTCTCTTCAAGAACTGTATATATTTGATCTTAGAGATGTGAGTGGTTATCGAATTGGGGAGCTGAAGAATATGCTTGATCTTTACAAATTAGGAATCAATTGCCTTGAAAATGTTAAGGATGGCGAGGAGGCTCGTAATGCCCAATTATGTGAAAAGAGGAGGCTCACAGATTTGACCTTATGTTGGAGTGATAATCACATTGCTTCGACGAACAACGATTTAGATGAGAATGTGCTCGACAACCTTCATCCACCAAAATGTCTAAAGAATCTGAGCATAAAGAGATACATGGGTGCAAGGTCTGCAATATGGATGAACAATGTCAATTGGATCATCAATCTAGAGGAAATCGAATTGTCTCATTGCAAGGAATTGGAAACTCTTCCACCTTTTGGGCAACTTCCCTTTCTCAAGATACTGAAACTTGAAAGCATGCCGAAAGTAAAATGGCTCGAAAGTAAATTTAATGGGAATGATAAATACCGTGCCTTTCCATTGCTAGAGAAGTTATATATTTACGGATTAGAAGCATTAGAGGATTGGTTTGAGGCAGGAGTAGCTGCTGAAGATGGATGTTTGTTTCCTTGCTTAATTCGACTGTTTCTAATTGGCTGCCCGAAGTTGAAAGAGTTTCCCTCTTTGCCCCCTAAGCTCAAGTACTTCTTGATGGAGAACATGGGGTGGAGGACTTTGAATTTTGGTAGCAATTCAAATCCTATTCCCCTTCAATCATTAGAGGTCGTTGACTGTCCAAATATTACATCTATTCCTCTGGCTGATGAAATAGCAAGACTTGCAGCACTAAGATCCTTGAAAATTATGAAGTGCCCTAATCTGATCTCTCTGGGAAGATATCGAGATGTGGAGACCACTAATAATTGCCAGCTCATGCTCAACAATCTTGAG